AAAAATTTCAGACCAATCTATAACCCATATTTAAAATTCAAAAATCTTAAAGCACCTCTATTTTAAATTTTATTCAATATGATTTCCATCACATTTTTAAATTTTGATATTTCTAATACATGCTCACAGTATACATAACAATTTTACCTCTTTTACTCTTAAATTTTAAAAAATTTATTAATAAAGTATATTTAATACCATACACACAAACTAAATAATTACCCTTCAATATCTATATAATTAATATTTTAAATTTAATTATGTTCAAATTGGTGCATGCGTGAAACTTTAATATATATAAATTAATATTTTAAATTTATTTATATTCAAGTTGGTGCATGCGGTAAAGCATATGCCTTTTAAACGGGAGGCTCAAAAAATTAACATTACACTATATAGTCTCCTTAAATTTAAAGTACATTAGGGAGATACGAAAACGATCGTGTTATATTTATGGAGATTATATATATTAGATATTTAATTTATAAATATAAGAATAATATCAATGATTAATTTTAATATGAACAATATTTTACTTTTTTTTACTTAATTTTTTTTTATTAAGCCGCACAATTAATATATTTTCAAAATTCGTCTCACTCAAATTACACTATGAGGAGATAGTATAAATTTAATTGTTGAAAAACATCTTTCCACACTGACTTGGGTGGCCGGCACTGCCAATACGATATCAGATTTGATGTGTCATTTATAATAATATTTTTAATTTAATTTTTCTCTGAGCATTATAATTTACAAGTTTAAAATATAAAAAAATGTTGTAAAACGACAATATACTAAAGTTTATAAAAATTATGACCGACACTTATCAATCAAATGTGATTGATGAATAATTTGAATGTAATTTTAATTTTTTCAATATACTAATAATAACTTACATATTATTTTATAAGCATAAAATCCTGAGGCTCGAACCGGTTCAGAGACATTATAGCGGTTCGGTTCAGGTTATGCTAGAATTTTTTAAGTAGTTTAGGTTCGGTTCAGGTTTGATAAAAAATACCGGTTTTTAGCGGTTTAACGGTTCAGGTTCGGTTTGGATCCCTGCTGAAAACAATTTAAACAATTTAAAATTCTTGGTTAAATATTTTCCATTTTTACTTATAATTTACTTATTTTGATAACAATAAAAAAATAAAAAATAGCCACTATAGTTAACTTCACTTACTTTTTACTTGAAATGTCTAATTTAATTATTATATTAAAATTAGGCCAAAATAAACCAAATATATGATAATATATTTAAATAATAAGCCTGAGTCAATTTTCGACTCAAAAACAAGCTGAGTTTAGGGCTAAGCAGGCTGGCTCAGCCATTTAACAACACTAATCGCAAATAAATAAATTTCGGCTCAATAGTCGGCTTGAGCCAGCCACTAATATGAATTAAAGAGCTGGCTTGATGAGTCAATCGACTCAAAAACTAGATGAGTCAAGGGCTAAGCCGGCTTGGCTCAGCCATTTTACAATACTAATCGCAATTAAATAAATTTCGGCTCAAAAATAGGCTTGAGTCAAATTCTGAGCTGGCTTGAGTCAAATTCTGAGCTGGCTTGAGCTTACTCGAGCCAGTCGACTAATATGGCTCAATGAGCCTGATTCAATTTTCGACACAAAAACTAGATGTGTTTAGAGCTAAGCCGGCTTGGCTCAGCCGTTTAACAACACTACTTCCCTTATCTGCTTCCTAAACACTCAAATACTTTCATTGTATGTTCCAAGAATTTAATAGCTCTATAAAACCCGCAATCTAAAGGATCACCTTTCCACTTTTAAACTGGAATTTATACTTCTTTGCCAATCCTCGGGAATAGTTCCTTCTGTGACAATTAGATTGGCTAAATTCAGATTTAATCATCAATCTTTATTTAACTTATAAATCAGCAAATAACATCGTCACGTTGAATTAATGGCTCGCAAAAATATTTGTTGAAAATTGATTGGGATTTCTTTCAAGTATTTTAGGTGAAAATTAGTTTTGAAAAATATTTTGAATGAATTTTAATATAATAAAGTCCTCTTTTATTGGAATTTTTTGACTTTAACTTATCAGCTAAGGTCATTAAATAAATAAAATATAGTCTAACCTATCCCTTAAAAATAAATAATAAAAATTGAAGCAATCTAATCTTTAAAATAATATTTAATATCTAATACTGATAACTAATAAAAGTGTGATTTTGAATTTTTAGGTTCTATCTTATATAAAATTACACTAATTTAACTTGATTAATAAAGGCTTTTATTTAATCTCTCAGAATTAAAACTAAGATGCTAAATTCTTAGACGCTCAGAAAATTACTGAATGCTCATATAAAAAACTTAATTGCCCAGAAAAAATACTAACCCAGGTATAAAACTGAAACGCAATGAATCGCTCAAATATATAAAACGCTCAGAATGTCATTTTAAATTTTAATCCTTTAGCCCTACTTTTTTTAATAAAAGAATTTTTTAAATAAATTCATTATTTTTATACTATTTGTATATTTTTACAATGTATTTATCAAAAAAATAATGATTCCATTTAACATCTATATGCACCTTAAATACAAAAGTATTGTTATAATTAGGGCTGTGCCGATATTAAATATCGGATCGACGCCGATACTTAGCGTTTTCCAAAAATATCGGATCTGGCTGATACATGTAAAATCCGATCCGATATTTTTACTTTTCTTTTTTTTTGTTATTTTATTTATACTTATTTTACATTAATAATTTTTTTTTAAACAACGCAAATGCACAACACCCCTTAAATTTTATTTATTTTTTAAAATAGATTTATAGTATTTTAAAAGTTTTTTTATAAAAATAGAAAGGAACACCCAAAGTTTTATTTATTTTAAATCTTTTTAAATAATAACGCCAATTTTATTATTTATACTTTAAAATTATATAAAAGAATTTTTTTAAATGTGGTATCTGAATTATGGAAATATTTTACAAAAGATAAAGATAATTTTTCAAAATGCGTTATCTGCGGAATTCTAATTTCACGGGGAGGAATAATGAAAAATTCATTAATACTACCAATATCCATAAATTTTTTAAAATTATTGTAGAAATAAAGAAATTAAATTAAATGCATAATTCGATTTTTTGCACAAAAAATATTAATTACTTAATTACATTTGTTTCAAAGGGGGGTGGTGAAAAATTAATATAAATATCGGATATGTTTTGAACCAATATCGGATCTGATCGGTGAAAAATATGTGAATCGGCACAGCCCTTATGATAAAAATGCTAGCATTATAATAAATATTATCCGATTCTATAAGCAATCCACCAGTAATAGAAAGTATATCATAAAAACTAAAATAAATAGAACGTTCATAATTTGGCTAAAATTGGAACATAAAAATTAAGAAAAGTTATAACGTAACAAAATACAAACTAAAGCCTATACTAGCCTGAAAAATATAATTGAATTTATTATATAATTATATTGTAATGTCAAATTAAATCATTAAGCGTTCTTAGGGTTATAAAATAACATGCAAGTTGATGATTTAAAATTAGCTCGCAGGGCTTTAAGGGTAAGAAAAATAGCTATGAAATTCTGAGCTTTGAGTGTTTTATTCGGAGAAATTAAGGGAGAAAAAATGTAAGCTTTTCAGTTGTTATTATGCGCAAGATAATATAAGCCATTAATAAATTTATCAATAAACTAAATTTGTTAAAGATTTTATATTCAATTCAATTATCTCTTATTCAATAGGCATGCAGGGTAGGTAGAGAACATGCATTAAGCTAATACTATGGTATTTTTATTTACTGACAGCATGTACATAATAGAAAATAATCTGGAGGCAGCATGTCAATTTCCTCTCAACCTACCCTCATTTTTTATTATCTAACCCTTAACTCCTGTCACCTTTATGTTATATGAAGGCAAGTTATTCTACCTTCCAAGACACAATCTAATAAATTGCTTATATTCATGTTAATAATTATAATTCAATAATGTGGATAAAACGGGAAAATCTATTATAAAAATTATAACCAGGATTCTGGACCAAATTTATGCTTTCAGACTCTTGTTAGGGGCTCTTTTTCCAACCTGGACCCGGAAATATTAAATATATGAATCTAGACCGTACCCGAATTTTCCCTAAACTCGTGTACAGAAATTTCAGTCATAACAAACTATAAAAAATGTAGCTGCCGTCCAAAATTAATATTTTTGTTTTTACTCCCAGGGCACTAAAACACAATTTGTCCTATCTTCTTGATTGCCGTTTTTCAAATTCTTTTTACCAGTAAAATTTTATATGTAATATAAAATCTATTATATTGGAAGTTTTTTTTACTCCTATTTTTATAAAATAAACTTACATACATTATTTATTCTATGCCCATTTTGGGTAATCTACTTCTATTTATGCCGAATTCTCACCCTAACCCGCCTGTAACTAACACCATTTTGGACCTGTACCGAACTTGGCAAAAATTTTGGCGGATCCAGTTAAAAAATTTAGTGCATTATTTTTTGAATTGCAATTCAGAAATGTTTTTTTTATATAATCAATCAATCATGTTCATAATTCATAAATGTCAATAAGATCACTTAGTTAAGTTATATTTAATATCAATCTGTCTCTATTTAAACAATTAATTCACTTATTTTTTATATTTTTATTAGTTAATAAAAAGTAAGCTCTTAAAAAATGAGAAAATTAAGTTTTCCACATCCTTAAAATAGATATTTTTTATTAATATTTCCTTCTGATTAAGATTGTTAAAAAAGATTTTCAATAGCCTTATATTTTAAATAAATATATATTAAATATTTATATAATGTGTGTTTGTCACAAATGTGCTATTAAATTAATCGATAATTAGTTTACATATTCGTATTCAAAATATTTATATAGTTTCTGATTTGATAATTTTATTGGCCTTCTCTAGACTTAATTTTAATAATAACATCAATTTATTTAAAGCAAGATTATATATAGTTTTTTTTAACTTAGATGAGCTGACACCCGAAGAATTGGTAGAATTGTTTAACCTATTTCAAACGTGTTCAGAATATGCCAACTGTTTTGCCCCTATGGTATCTTTAGTCACTTCCAAAGGTTATAATCGAATGGAGTACAACAAAACCAATCTAACAGATAAAACTATTAATACAACGATAATAGATGGAATACCAAAAGATTTTTACAAATTTAAAACTCATAATATAAACACCCATCAAAATAATTCCGGTTTACATTCACAATCTTATGATGATCACAAGATCAAAGTCGTCTTACAAGACCGCTTGAGTAATAAAGATATTGAAATTGACGGGAAAGACTTGCTTGGAAAAATAGATAATGATAACGCAAAAATTATTAACTTGATGTGATAAAAAATTTTATATATAAAATGTTTTCATTTTATTTTAAACTTATGACAATATTTGCGATCGCTTATAAATATTAAATTATGTTAGTCATCACATATATGTATATATATATATTATTGAATAAAGAGAATATATTATTTAATGTGTATGTTGAGAATTTCTAGTCATTTTTATAGATTATTTAAATAAGTCCATTTATATATTATCAATCGCCATTAGAATTTGCGGAAGGAAAAATATTTTATGTAATGTATTATTATTAAATTCACTTTACTGTCATTTAGCATAATTGGGTAGCTTATTCTCTTTTAAAATATATAGATCATCTTTCTTCATTACTCTAAACTTGTTATTTTTTATTTTAAAAAACCTTTTTAAACCGATTTATACTATTTTTGATAAATAAATAAAATTGCTATAAATTCATGAACCATGAATCTTATAAATTATTTATATAACAGAAAATACGAAAATAATTAAAAATATATAAAATCGAAGACAATAATACTATGTTTATATTTGTAATGTCTCTAAATATTTTTTCAGTGAAATTTTATAAAAAAATTATAGCGTGATAAAAACGTTAAAAATTGTGACACTGGGAAAAATTAAATTTTTGAATGTTAATTTGGACGAATTTTAAGTATAACAATTAATTATATCACATTTCTCGCGTCTCTTACTTAAATCCTATCATGTTCAGAGCTATTTTATCTGAAATTAATATAAATAATTATAGAAATTTACATCTCCGACCCGGGTATACATGGGCCGGGCCGTATTTTAATTTTTTTAAATATACCCGGGGCGGGCCTGAAGTTTTTAAAAAAAAATACCCGGGCTGGGCTTTATATTTTAAAACAAATATATAAAATCGTCATTATTAGGCTATAAAAATTAAAAATAACATAATATATTTTAAAAAAATTCGGGCCAAATGGTACCTCTGCAGGTCTCTGATTTACATATTATATATTATCGTTTAATTATTAGAGTTTCAATTTCCCTTTTGACCAAAATTGATTTTAACTTTTCGGGCCCCTCTACTCTTTTACATTAAATAACCTCCCATAATTATTTCTAAACATGTTTTTATATAATTAAGAAATATATTTCTTTTAGTTAGCCTTTGAGTAAAAATAACATGATTTTGATTTAAATTTGTCATAGACCGAATAATAGAATATTGTTACAAAATTATTTAACGAGAATTTTGTTATATTTCTTAATATAACAAAAGTTTTCAATTTTGAATTTTATTATACTGAACGTATATTATGAGGAAATTGATTATTTTCTCGGTTGTAAGATACATGGATGAACACGATTATTTTTGTAACAAATTAGTGAGAAAGTTCATATTTAAATAACTCCAGATATGCCAATTTAAAAATTTTTTATTATAACTACACTTTTGTATAATAGTAAGTGATCTTTTAACTAAAGAATTATATTCACTTGCGAGGAAGTATGTGTTTTATAATATGCGGCTAATGACTGAATATTTTAATAAATAGGTTAAAGAGAAATATATTTTTTTTAATCAATTTACATACTCTTGGCATTAAGTTTTTTAAAAAACCTGAGTCGCTTTGCAAACTATTATTTTAGGATAATATTAATATAAAATTTGGGTTAAAATATTAGAATAGATTTTTCTGTAAAATTTACATGAAATATATATTTAAATTTGAATATTATGCGGGTTATATATTAAAAATATATACAAATCAACATAAGTATAAAGTTTATACATTAATAATATTCAAATAGCTCTAATATTACATTAATAATGTGCTTTAAAATGGAGCTTTTCTTTATTCAAATTGAAACTCTGAATATTTATGTATAAATATTTTTTTATATAAGTATATAATTAGGGATTTTTTATCGTATAAAAGTATTTTAAATTCTTGTAAAGATGCCAACCTTGATTCCTATCATTTTTATTCTAAGCATTTCAATTCTTTGCTTTTTGGATCTTATCACTTCATTGGTTGTTCCTTATTATCCAGATTTTTTAAAAGAACCTTATGACACTGACCGATTTTTGAATTACTTAAACAATCAGAGATTTGATTTGATTCCAGATAAAAACGGCCTATGGCCAACTGAAGACTTGAGTCAACAATCACCTGATAATCCTACGATATTGGATCTTTTAAAGCTCTATCTTCCTTTATTAAATGCTCAAAGACTTGATATACCACAACATGAAAGTTAGAAAATTGGCCATTAATATTTTTAATTTGTAAATCATGAATTGTAAATATATAACAAATTCTGAATTTCAATAAATAATTTTACTGTTTAATATTCTTTTAATCGGACTATATTGAGAACTAGATTTAAATAATATTCATATAAAAAAATGGAGACATTATAATAAGGAATCTTTAATATCTGTTTTCTTTAACTTTCTTATTTTTGACCCCAGATGCCAAAATATTATATTGCATCAAATTTTTTTAGGGTAAAGCACAGACCTGGCCAGCTCGAAATAATAGTTTAGCATTCATTTACTGTTTATACTTTATATCAACCCTTTGATCACCATCCAAAATTGGGTATTGATATCATAATTGTTTTATTTTTTTAGTAAAAGCTTATGACCTGACTTATTAACACAAGCTTAAAGTAATCTTGCAACTATATTCTACTACCACTAACTTTTAACCCGCTTAAGTAATAAATTTTTTAATGTTCTCGTGATTGCACAACATTTGGTAATTGATTTAAAACTTCAGCTACAAGCCGACTCGATTTAGCCAATTAATTCCGCAGCATAACCCTCTAAAGAATTTTAAAAAATTTTGCAAATTTTAGTTAGAATAAGAAATTTCTTGCTTTTTTGCTAACTTTAATTTTAAAAAATCTTCTCTGATACATATATACATAGTATAGATAATTCCTTAAAGGTTTAGGTATTAATTGAATTCATTTTAGGGTAATTAAATCACATTTAATTATAAATGATGCGTTAGGATTACCATACCAACATGTATATTATTTTTTGTAACAGTTAAAAATCGATGAAAATTTTTTAATTCCAAATTTGAGAAATTGTATACACATTATATTAACATAATAATTATCACATAAATAATGTTTCAAAATACACGCAGACGCAATTACGATTTCTCTTATATATTTCTAATCCTTTGAGTAAAGTTATAGGTCCATTATAAAAAAAATTTAAAATAATATGTTATACCATATATAATTTACTCATAAAAAGTGTATGTTTCGCTATTTAAAGTATATAAGCATGTCAAACATTCGAGATTGAATGTAAATGTCGCATTTAAGGTAAAACGTCTTTGGGCCGCGCGATGTCATATATTTAGCATAATTCCCTCAATTTTTAAATAAAAGAAGAAATTTTCAAAATAATGCGATGGAAATGAAAAAAAGAAATAGATGTCCCTATAACAATTATCACCAATGAAACTAAAAATTTTTACTACCTAACTATCACACTTTGTAAATTTAAAATGGCTTGGCATTAGAATATGAAATGAAAACTAATAAATATTGATCAGAGGGTAAATACGTTTTAATAAATATATATAAATAATATATTATTATGAATTTTTGCTTTTTATTATAAGATTATTGAGATGAAAAAGTATGGAAGAGACGCATGCGCATCTTGTTCTGAGTGCGGCCAAGGTATAGCATTCTTGAAAGGCGTTCCGTCGGAGTAATAGCGTCCCAGGTAATGACGTTTTTGGGACTTCTCATCTGAAAAATTTAAGACAGAACTGAGCGGCATAAAGAGTGTTGTCATAGTTTTCATTTTGTTCATAACTCGGTTTCTTATTTTGAGGTTTGCAAAACCGAGATTAAATATTAGAGACACAAGATATTGAATATATTTATCACTCTAGCTTGAGGCCCATTTGGAAATTTGTCTTATTTCACTAATAACCTTTTTTTCTTCTATATAATACTATCAATTTACCAAATGGATTAAAATAATTTACTAATTTAGCATCAACATTCATATGACATAGATTTTCAAACTATTATAATACAAATTAAATATAAAAGTTTTAACCATAGTTTAATCGTGCCGGACATGATTCTGCCTGAGTCTCAGAGAGCAAAATCAAACCAGGATGGGTTTAGGGCTGGCATAATACCAATATTTTCTTGGTTTACTAAAACATATATAAAAACCAATTCCAATAGCTGATAAATTAATCTAATAGCAATAAAAATAGCTGATTTTGAAAACTATTCTAATCAACAAGAACAATCATCCCAGTAACACCCTTTTTTGAAACTGATGATGTTATTTTAAACAAAAATCAATAGCTTTTGGATAATAATTAAAACCAATACCAATATATCCCACCCAATATGAACCAAAAATATTGTTTAAACTAATAAAATATTTTGAACAATATCAATACAATATATATTGTAAGGCACCCCTAGGTGAGTTGAACTTGATCGGGCGGATCTGATTTTAAAATTTTGATTTTCGCACTAGGCCGGATTTGTTTTTTTCACATTTAAACTATATTTCATTAAACTACGCTATAACAATATTTGATTATTTTTCTTTTCAAATTATATACTTTAATATTTTATTTTCTTCACTATTTTATTTAAAATTTCCTTAATCTTTCTCAAAAATATTATCAACTATCATTTTATTTTATATCAATATATATTAAATAGACATGAGTAAGTGCTCGTTATTCAAGAATATTTTTCAAAATCAAAATAATTTTCTGATTTAATTATGAACTTCTAATATGATTTTTAGAAGCTTTTATTTTTCATTCAGACACTAGAGCAAAGTCGCTAAAAATAGCCAATCCTGGAAAACCCAATGTTCGCGATTCTGCGAAAATAATATGTTACCATAAATAATGAAATGAAAACTTTTTGAAAAAAATAGTTCCAATTTTATCTCAAAACATTTGATTATGCCGCAACTCCTTGCTAATTCTGCCACTTGTACAAGTCTACGCGACACCTAATCATGCATGCAACACCTAATCGAGCGATATTTGATCTAAACTCTAGATATTCGATTTAACTAAACAACTATTATTCTTTAATACTGGGGAAAGGAAAATTTAATTTTATTATTTAATTGGTCCTCTATTTATATATTATGTATCCATACATCATTTAACGTTTTTAAACATACTAAAAGTTTCTAACAGCAGAAATACTATCTTCTCTTAAGCATTGATTGAAATGAATAAACCTTTATATTTTAATATTCCAATCATATGAACTACCAATAGGCGTAATAAATTAGTAATCAAATTTTGATGAGATAAAGCGTCGGTATGATAAAGTTGTGTCACATGATTAAGTGAAAAACGTCTTTTTTAAAAATAAATTGACATAATATTGGAATAAATGTAAAAAAAAGAAGTTGCGGGTATCATATTCTTAACTCAAAGTGAATTAGAAATACTTTTACAGGTTTTAATTAAAATCTTTTGAATTCTAAGGAGTCTCTGAGTATCTTTTGATTATTTTGTTTAATTTCTAACATAGATTTTTATTAACGGTCGTGGAACTTTTATAACATTTAATATACCAATAATTAATTTGTTTTAATCGTTAAGATTTAATATATATTTATAATTCTAGAAGGTGATACTGGTCTTATATGCCAAAAGTAATTATAAGAAATCAATAAATAAATCCTTATTAAATTTTGTTTTACTTTCAAATAATGAATTATTATAATAACAAATGAATTAAATATTCATTTTAATTATTATTAATAATTTTTATTTTTTATCCATTATATTTTCACTATTTTCCAGTATTTATATATAAATATTTTATATAATAAACCATAAAAAATTATTCTTAGATTTCATTTAATATTTTAAATTAAAACAATTATTATGTCCAAGACCTTTTTTATTATATATGCCTTGACCTTTCCACTATGGATATCTTCTTATTCATATTATCTACCAAGATACAATAGGGAATTTCCAGTGATCTTTAAGAAAACAGGTTAATTTTATTCGTGTTAGGGAAATTCTAAAATTTTTAAATTATAAATTACGATTGCTGCACTGACACTACATTTTCATTTAAAAGTTATATAAATAGTTATATTTTTCATATAACAGGTCACTGAATTGAAATTTGAATATAAATTAATTTGATTTAATTAAAAATTTGGGAAGATTAAATGAAATTTTAATTTCCTTCTTTATAACCACTGAAAAGTAATTCATGTTTTTAAGAAGGTTTTATAGAAGCTTCTAATTATTGACCATTCAAAGCAAATAGTAACGAACCCATCGCTGATGGCAAAAAGTTTTCATTTTTTTAATTAAAATTTTGAAGAACCTATTTTACATAGGGGAAATGCGCCATGAATGGCCATGTTTTTGCTTTTTTGAAAAAAAGATATTAAAATTTATGTTTAACCAAACAAATTTTATATCAATGTGTAGCCTAAATCTTAATCTTTAAAATAAAATTTGAATCAAAGGTCTATCTGTAATACTTTATGAGCTAAATGAGACTATGTGAAAGTTGTTTTTCTGGCCAGTCAATACATGTATGTATTGACTGGCCATATACTATGTGTTAACTGGCCATAATATATTATTTAAGAATTTTATTATAAATATGAAATAATACAATATGAAATACTTGTTAAAGACCTATGTTAATATTTCTAAACTTTTTAGTTATATAAAAAATTAATTATACACTAATTTAATTAGTATTAAAATCTCAATTTATCACATCTATTTAATGATAATAATATAAATTAATATCTAAATTATCATTTTGCAAAATATTCTTAAGCTTGTTTATCATTTTAATTTCACCAAATGTTGTTTTGATAGAGCTTTTCATTTTAATATGAATATGTGAATGTGCTAATTGTGGCCAATCAATACATGGATAATACTCACCTCTCTATTATTATTAAGCGCCTTTATATGTCTATTAAATAAAGCTTTTAAAGTCTAATTTTCTTTGTGAATAATGCTAAATGCCTAAGGATAATATTTATATAAAATCTAAGTAATCCAAATTAGTAATTATCACCAAACAAAAAAATGTGTGACGTGATTTTTCCAGAAAGAGGTACTAAGAATAAGAACAGTTTATTTAAAATATTTTTTTATTGAATTGCTCTATTCAATAAATGAATTTAGGTAAGAAGATACATATCATAAATATACACATTTTGACCAATTTTGAGAGAAATTGGTTCAATTGTTAAAAAGATAAAGGGTGGTGACCAGTCTTTACACATGGCCATTTATGGCACATTTCCCCTACTGGCTAAAATATAATATATTACTATTTTATTATTATAGATTTGCATTTATTTATCATATTTACCGCAAAAATAAATACGCTAATATCCATTTCAAATTTTCCTTGGAATTATGTTTATCTAACATTTCATCAAAATAATTTGAAACTTTTTCACTGCAAATAAAATATAAAATTTTATAAGGGGGGGAGGGGGGGGGGGGTTAATTTTTTTAATATTGGAAAAGTTTTTGGAACATTATAAATTTATTAAAATGAATCATAATTAATTACAACCAATCATATTTAAAAAATGATAATTTCGAACACAAATAGAAATAGGTGAGATTATGGCATAAATGGTCATGTTTGATGACTGGCCACCGCCTTTAACTTTTTATCTACTTGAACAATTTCTCTCAAAAATAGTCGAAATGTGTATATTTAAGATATGTTCCTTATCATAGTTTATTTATTGATTAGAGCAATCCAATTAAAAAATATCTTAAATAAACTGTATAGTACCTCTTTCTAATCTTGTTATACATTTTTTTGTTTCGTAAAAAAATTACTAATTTATGATATTGATATATATAAATATTATCCTTAGGCATTTAGCATAGTTCACACCAAAAAATTAGAGCTTATAAGTTTTATTTAATATACATATAATGGCATTTAATGATAATAGACAGGTGAATTCATACATTCATATTGAAATAAAGAGCTTGTGTAAACTAACATTTGGTGAAAAAATGGAACAAATTCCCCATATGGAATGCAATTCAAATAGATTAATATTCACCAAACCTCAGAGGAAATTTTATAAGATTATTTAATACAAGACAAGCTAGAAAATCATTAATGGGTTTAGCATAAAATAGTTAAAACTTCTAAATATGTTAGCATTAATGAAAATAATTAAATGTTAGAATATTTTTTAATGGTATTAATTATATATTAGAGTTACTTGTTTAGTTATCATAGATATAATTATATAAATTTTTATGTTAAAAATTATTTATTTTTTGATAAGAATATTTGCACATGATTTTATGAGTTAAAGTTTAATAAACCTAAAGAAGATTATGATGAGTGGTTGTTCTATATGCAAAAAGAAATATTCCTAGAGCAAGAAAGAGGGGATTAAATGCATTCATTGTGAAGAATAGGCTCATGCTTATGTAGTAATAACAATGATATATAATAATAAAATTTTTATATATTTAAAAAATGAAGAAATATTAACATAGATCTTTTACAAGTATTTAATATTATATTTCATATTTATAATAAAATTCTTAAATTATATATTATGAAGTTAACACATAGTATATGCCAGTAATATATACTTGTTTTGACTGGCCAGAAAAACAACTTTCACATATCCTCATCGCTCATAAACTATTATAGATAGAGCTTTGATTCAAATTTTATTTTTAAGAATTGGGCTACACATTGATATAAAATTTGTTTGGTTAAACTCAAATCATGATTCCTTTTTTGAAAAAAGCAAAAATATGGCAACTCATGCCACATTTCCCCCTAGTAAAATATTGTAAAATAAACAATATTTAAGAGCTAATATAATATTGCATAAATGAATCTCAAATATTTGATTAATTTAAGTCCGCCACCCAATGTTTTTTAAAAAATTAACCCGCCCGCCTATTAGTCTAAAATTTTTTACCAGCCCACCCATTATTTATAAAAAATTTTAACCCGAGCCCGCTATTATAAAATTTAATTATGGGCATTCTTTCAATTTTTTAAACATCTAATAAAAAAAATTTCAGCATTACACCTCTACAAAAAGTTTTTAGGAAATTACTATATAAAGTATAAAAAATATTCAATTTAATTATGAATAATTTATTTGATCAAATAAAATATTTATGAAAATTATATAAATATAAAATTGATATTATATGTTAATAATGCAAAAATAATAATGAATCGACATTTTATGGATTCAAATAAGTTCTTCTTTGTTCTAAAAATCTACCAGCAATGCTAAATCCTCGTTCAGAAGAAGCACTAGTTGCAGGAATTGAGAATATTTTTCTTGTTAATCTTGATAGCTTTAGCAAATCTCTTTCTTGTCGTTTCCACCAAAGTAATTTACAATATATAAAAAAGTTTATTTATTTTAAGAAAAAAGTTTTTATGATTCCAAAAAAGGACATTTTAATTTTTAATATCCCAAAAAGTTCATAGGAACTATTTTTTATTAATATTTACTTAAATGATTTTAATTTTTTTTAACCCGCCCTCCCATTGTTTAAATTTCTTAACCCGCCCACCCACCCGCCCATAGTTTTAAATTTTTTAACCCGCCCGCCTGTCCTATCTTAAAAAATTTTTTGCCTGCCCGCCTGTCCTATCTTAAAAATTTTTTTGCCCGCCGAAACCCTGCTAATGAAGACCTCTAGCTAGAACCTAGCAAGTTCGGCTTTAATTACTTATTTATACTGTAATCTTTAAATAATTTAAAATTGTAACGTAATAGCAGATTGTTTAATCAAGGGTCATTGAGATTGTTTTTTGCCTTTTGATTTATTAGTTTGACTAGGGATTTAGCCTCTTTCCAAAATGAGCAGTTTGTTGAAACCATAATAGCTATAAATATATTGTTATCGGCTGGATGTGAATATTTTTGGGATTTTCTTTTTTTTTCCTTATACCTAATGGATCGTAATTATTATTTGATGGAGCGTAAAATATATGTGAAGTCTCAATACATGTGTTTGCCTATATCCCAGTGGATTAATGTATGACTATCAGGCCACGAGTTATCAATAACAGAAGAATCCCGTGGTTCGAGATGTGAAGTAACATCTGCTTTGAATAATGAATCACTATATTTTATAAATTCGTGCCTTACATATTTGCATCTATTCACAAGACAATGGAGTGGATGTCTAGCTTTAGAATTAACAATTACCCCACATCTTTTACAGTTGTAGGGTGAAGATATTCTAGGATAAGCCTGATAGTCAAAGCATACCTAAATTCTTTATTTGTCAAAAGACATTTAGTAAAAAGCTTGGGTAAGCTACTAACCATTCGCTGATTTACTATTACCGATGAAAGAAGGTTAGTACTCTGCTGTATGTCATTGCTCGAAAGTAGATAATCGACGGAGCGTAACACGATTGCATCATTCCAATCCTTTTGTAAATTAGGGATAAATTGCGCCAAAGGATGTGTTAGCAAACCAGAATAACAAAGCATTAGTTAACATGGTGTCCTCAAAAAGTTAAATAATTTGAGAATTAGATTTTTGTTTTTTAATTATGTTGTAATAAAAGAAACTAAAGGGGTTTAATGGTGATCGTAAGCCTAGTCCGCCAGATTTTGTTGGAGTGGTTTGCAGCCAGCTATTATGATGAAATAGGGTATTTCCCAATCTCGATTTTAATTTTTGTTCACATTTTAGAAGTATAGATGGAAATAAATAAGCGCCAGATGATTATAAGAATAAAAAAAATATGTCAATATAATATTAGAGATAGGCTTTGAAACTGTTTAGTAGTGTTCGAAAGACAATTTTAAATAGATCTAACTGGTAGAGGAAATTTATTCCAAACCTATGTAGTTACCTCGAAATATTTCAAATTAATTTTATGTTTTAATTATAAAGTATAGTTAGGGTCATTTGATAGGATTTTTAGTTCTTGACCTTTAATTTTTAAAAAAGTATACACATTATTAATAAATAAGCGCATAAA